GACCTTCCAGCCCCAGATGAATATAGAGATTGCTAAATTGGCCTTGACTGGAAGAATTGCCAGCCGACCCACAGAACTTGGAAAAATAAGAAGTGTTTGTTCAGGTGATTGTATTTTAGGATGTTTAGCAAAAACCTACTGAATATAGCCCAGCATTGCCAGATGTTATGATCTTTTACAGAGAAACCAGAAGTTCAAATTTTTGTGTAAGTTCCAGTTTTTTTTTTTTTTTTAAGGTGAATTAGTGGCTAACATCCAAAAGGCACTTTCTAGGCCAAATAAAATAATCTTTAGGCTGAACTTGGCCTGTAGGTTGTTGGTTTACAGCATTTAGCATAAAGGAACATGAGGTATTTGTACTAGTACTACATTGCCACTTATTCTCTCATCTTTCTTGCCACAACTGCTATAGCCCATCTTACCCCTACCAATGATTTCTGTCTATATTGTGGAATGCTCACAATATACTTCTTAACCTGTTTCTCCATGTAGTCTTCCCATACGAGAATTGAAGCTGCAGATATTGTCAGTCTTTATAGAATAACTGAAATTTGCGGTGGACCCCTGTTTTAATTTGGTGCTGCTATAACAGGAATACCATAAGTGGGTGGCTTTAATAAACAGAAATTTATGTTCTTACAGCTTAGAAAGCTAGAAGTCCTCATTCAGAGTGCTGCCTCTCAGTGAAGGCTTTCTGTATCCATTCTTGGGGAGAATCCTTGTCTCAGCATCTCTTATATTCTTTTTGGCAGTCCTTGGAGATCTCCATGTGACATCTGTCTTTCCCCCAGTCCTGCCTACTTGTTTCTGTGCCCAATCTACTCCTTTTATATCCCATAAGTGATTGGTTTAAGGCGTACTTTAAACTGTTAGGGCTTCATTAACATAACAAAGAATACCTGGTCCCAAATGTTGTTGTTTTTTTTTTTCTTTGAAAAAAAAAAAAAACCAACTCAGTGCCATCAAGTTGATTCCAACTCACAGTGACCCCCATTCGGTTTCCGAGGCTATAAATTTTTATGGAAGTAGATTATCCCATCTTCCTTCCAAGGAATGGCTGGTGGGTTTGACCCACTGACCTAGTTAGCAGCCGAATGCCTTATCCACTACAACACCAGAGCTTTACAGCACATTTCATGGGGGAAGTGGGGCATGTAATTCAATCCATAACAACCCCAACAAAGGAAGGTGGGAAGGCTGCTCCCAGTGTTGGTGAGCATGAGATAAGGGTTGTGAGTGGCACTGGTGGTGGGACAATGGACTAGTCAACCGGTGTTGGCCAGAGAAGAGAGTTCCTACAGGAAGGTAAGGGAGATAAAGTTGGAGAGAGAGCTAGAGGGGAGATTATAGAACCACTAAATGCTAAGCCACGTGTTTTTGGACTTGATTCTGTTGGTGAAGAGGAATCATGATAGGCAGAGAAGTCACTTGAAGATTTTGAATGGGAATTTCATGAAGAAGGCAGTGATCTATTTTGGGCATCAATGTATAGAGTAAACTTGTGGGAAGGAGGAAAAAGGAGAGAAGGCATAGTGTTTGTAGGGGCAAGAGAGAAAAACTGATACAGGAAAGATTGCAACTTATTATTTATGGTAACTTCTCATTATCTCAAGTATAGTTAGTTGTACTACATTTCTTATCTATCTAAACAAGACATAGAGGCTGTGTTTTCAAAACCCCTCTATCAACAACTTGTTTTCTCAAGGCTCCTTGACTGAGTTAAAGTTATGTAGGGCTTACAGTTGTTTACTCCCACATCCTCTTAAGGCCAATGAGACTGGAGAAGGTATTTACTATGGGGTTAGGATCGGAACTTCCTTGCTTCCATTGAGAACTTCTAAAAATCAATCTTACCCTCCCTCCTATGCTCTCTCCTTCCTCTCGCTCCCTTCATCCCCCTCCCCCATGTAGCTGGGGAAACTGTAGCCACAGAGTTGGGGGAAGCCATCTTCCCAGGACAAGTGGATGAAGCAGCTACATGGGAGAATGGAGAAGTAAAGAAACCAGGTCCTTGTTGATGCTGTGTAGTCCCTATGTTAAACTTGGGGAAACCCTGAAGTCTGCCCAAGTGGGAAACTTTTCTGGGACAACTCCTTTCATACACAAGTCCATTTAAGTCATCTTTCTTTTGTGAATTTTGCAACTAAATACTTCTAAGGGATTCACCTTCCTGAAAATGATAGGCTTACAAAGTTGGGGGAGAAAAAACACAAAAGTCTTAAATATATTTTTAAATCTTTGGAAGAAGAAAGGAAATGTCACAGCTATGAGAAGAGCAGAAAAAGAAAATCAAAAGAAGTCAATTATATTAAGCTCAATTGGTATAATACACTACACAAAAACCTTGTCCCATATCCTACTTTGGTGAATAGTGACTAGGATCTTAAAAGCTTGTAAGTGGCCATCTAGATTCAACAATGGGTCTCCCCTTGTCCAGATCAAAGAAGAATGAAGAAAACCAAAGATACATGGAAACACTTAGTCCAAGGTACTGGTAGACCATGCGATCCTCAGTCTGTATGACCACGAGACCAGGAGAACTAGATGGTGCCCAGCTACCACTGTCAACCACTTGAAGGGAGATCAGATCTGTGTAGGAGATTCTGGATAGAGTGGGAGAACAATGTGGAACTAAACTGAAAATCATAAAAAAAAAAAAAAAAGACGAGGTTTGCTGGTCTGATAGAGCCTGGTAAGAACCCTGAGACTATGGTCCCTAGCTACCCTTCAGGTCTGGAATTGAACTCACTCCTGTGGCTTCCAGCCAAATTATAGACAGGCATATGGGCATCAGGTAGATGCACTACTTGGAGCGATCAATCCTGGGAGAACAGAAAGGCAGTGTGTATGCACAGGGAGACAGCTCAGGGGGTGGGAGGGGAGGACACGGGGAAAAAGCAACAACGGGGAGGAAATGGGAAGAGAGCTGTTACAGTGACATCAGTCAATGCCATGAGAAAGAAAGTGTATGAACTGCTGCATGGAAAATGAATTTGCTCTGTAAATTTTCACCCAAATCACAATAAAATTAGAGAGAGATAAGTCAATTATTATTAGACTGCAATTAAAAGGTAACACATACCAGAAGAAGCAGTAGCAAAATGGCCATATCTTAGACTGGCGGTTCTTAATCTTGACTGCACATTCAAATCACTTGGGAACTTAAAAAATAAATAAATAAAATTATCCTGGATCCATCTCCCAGAGATTCTGATCCAAATGGTCTGGGTAGAACCTGGGTGTCTTGATATTTATAAGCTTCTGAGATGATTCTAATGTGCCATGTGGTTGAGAACCACTATCCCAGCCAGTCGCCAGCACCTCCCAGGGTGGTGCTGCTGTTTTGAGGTATGCAGTTACATATAAGCTACATCTTTGGGAACATCTGCTGTTAGATCTTTGCTGTTTTCATGGTATATATGGGCAATGGAAGGAGCCCTGGTGGCACAGTGGTTAAGTGCTCCAAAAGGTTGGCGGTTCAAACCTACCAGCTGTTCCGTGGGAGAAAGATATCTGCTTCTATATATGTATATATATAACAAAACATTTGCCATTTTAACATTCTTCACATGTGCAGTTCAGTGACAATATTATCTTCTTATTACAGAATCAGAAGTGGGAATGGCTAGTCATAACACAGAGGTGCTCAGAGGTTCTGGTATTGGGGAAATGTAAACTAAAGTCACAAGATGCCCCTCTGACTGATTGGCTATCAGCAACATTTTAAGTTATATCACTGTTGGTGAGAGGCAGGAAAAGAAGCATGCTCATGTACTATTTTGAGATACATAAGTCATGTAACTTTTTGGGAGGCCAATATAAAAACCACTTATCTTTCTTCTAGCAATTATACTCTACCCTACAAAAACACTCATATGGCACAAAGATACACACATGCACATACACTTAAAAACTGGTCAATGTAATTGTGTTTGAAATAGAAATTGAAACCACCTAAATAATGAGGCGTGTGTTTAAGAGTGACATAGATCTATATGTACTGTCATGGAAAAAGAATCCAGAATATGTTATGTGAAAAGAATAAACTACGGACCATATGAAAACAACTGTATTATATTCAAATCAGGTGTATGTGTAGAATGGAGTCATTCTCAAGAAGAGGATAAATTCAGAAGTCAGCAAGAAACAGTAATTTCCTTGTCAAAATCACTCTTGAAAATTCCTTCAACTGCCCATCAAGTAGCCGATATATAATTTAGTGTGTATAGTCTTATATATGCATGTATAAATAGATCATGTAAGTACATATGTTTGTTCTTTTTGGGAGCTCTGGTGGCGTAGTGCCTAAGGCATTTGACTGCTAACCAGAAGGCTGGTGGTTCAAACCCACAGCCGCTCCTCAGAAGGAAGGTTGGGCAATCTACTTCCCTAGTGATACTGCCTCGGAAACCCAAGGAGGGGTTGCTTGGAGTTGGATCTGACTCGATGGCAGGGAGCTTGGTTTGGTTTATTTGTTCTATTCAGTACTTTATTGTGTCTTTTACTCTTCTGAGAGCCTGTATTTGGATTCAAGAAAGTTAAATGTGCCTACAGCCCAGTCCCGCTGTGGGATTTGTAATGTCCAGGGGAATATCTGTAGGTGTACATGTTATTGTTGTTGTTGCATGCCATCAAGTTGATTCTGACTCCTAGTGATCCTATAGGACAGAATAGAATTCCCACTATAGGGTTTCCAAGGCTGTAATCTTTGTGGAAGCAGACTGCCACATTTTTCTCCTATGGAGTGGCTGGTAGGTTCAAACGACCTATCTTTCAGCTAGCATCCCAGCACTTAACCACTATGCTGCTGCTCTTTGGGGGTGCACATACCATACTGTTAACACTGCTTACCTCTGGGGGAGAGATTGATGGGAGAGGTAAAGAGAGATATATATGTTAAATATAACTTGATACTTACTTATAAAGGAAAAAGAAAAGTGTTCTCTCCTACTCTCCTACTCTGACTACTTCTCCCTTTGCTTTCTCTCAACGGGGAACAGGACCTACTCCTGGCAGCTGCCTATGTTTCCGATGCCCAGTACAACAGAAATGTACCATTTGAAACATCACCTCAGACCATCAGGTAATTAAAGTGTTAAACTGTCACATTGAACCACCTGTCCTTTAGCACTTAATATTCTTGAAGCATAACCAAACTGAAGACATTATTCCAATCTAATTGTTCTTTTTTTTTTTTTTAAATAAGAGTATAGAGTCTTACACATAAGGAAGGATTCAATAAAAATATCTTAAACAGATATGTGAGTAAATGGATGACATCCAGGAGAGAGAAGACAGGGCATCCAAATTAGAAATGTGCCATCTTCTTTTCTTCCTAGACAAGGTGTCATCTTAAACCCAATACTAACAAGGTGATTCTGAGTGATCCTATAGGACAGAGTAGAACTGCTCCATAGGGTTTTCAACACTATAATCTGTACAGAAGCAGACTCCCTCGTCTTTCTCTCACAGAGCAGCTGGTGGGTTTGAACCACTGACCTCTTGGTTAGCAGCTGAACACTTAACCATTATGCCACCAAGGTTTAGAGCAGCCTAAAGTAGAACCCCCCACCCTTTCTGTTGCCTTTTGATGCAATTCATACATTTGTTCTTTTCATAAGAATTCTACTTTTTCTCTTTCATCCCCTAAGGGTTGAATGAAGACCAAAGATTTGACTCAGAATAAGGAAAAAACATTTCTTAGCATAGGGCTGGGAGTCCTTGGGTAGTACAAACAGTTAATGAGGTTGACTGCTAATCTACCAGTTGGAGGTTCCAGTCCAGCAAGTGACACCTTGAAAGAAAGGCTCTGAAAGGGACCAGGACATTAGAAGGTCCTGGATCGAGTGGGAGGAAAATGTAGAACAAAACTCATAATTATAAAAAATATCAGGCTTCCCACAAGATGGCGGACTAGGCAGAAGGACTGCAGAGACCCTCTTCAACAAAGAAAAGGGAAACCAATTAACACAGACACAGAAGATAATCTTGGACCGCTGAGCCTTGAAGGGAAGAATACAGAAGTAGAATAAACCCCAACTAGCAGAAGAATTTGTGTGAAAATACCAAAAAAAAAAAAGGAGACATACGGAGCTGCAGTCTGGCAGGGACGTGAGCGCCCCTGACGGCACAAATGACTTGGACATTCCCGAGTGGTGGTAACCTAAAAATCACCCTGC